AGTTTGAGAACCACTGGTTGATATTAGCATCTATTTTTAATTGAAAAAAATGGAATCAAACTATACCTAATATTTACACTTTTCCTTATCACTTAACAATATATCTTAGACAGTAATGGTAAGAATAGCACACTGAGTACTTATTCGTGAAGTCCTGTGCCGAGTGCCTTGTACGGATTATTCCATTTAACTCCTACACTAATCCTGTGAAGCAGGTGCTCACCTAGCACCCTGGATATTTCTGGTGCAGGTGATTGGATTGGAAGATCACATTCTCAGAAATACTCATTAGCTATGTAACCTTGAAGAAGCACCTATGTCAAGGGCCGTTATGAGAATTAAGTAATTTATATTTGTAAAGCACTTAAAATAACGCCTAGAACATAATAAACACTACAGAAATGTTCATCAGCATTTAGATGGTATTTAAAACTCTGAGTCTAAATGTCGTCATCCAGAGTTGTAGATGGAAATAGAAAGGAAGGCTTAGGACAGGCCAGGGGACACTTCAAATTTGGGAAGTTAGGAAGATGAGGAGAATCTAGCCAGGAAGACTGCAATTTCAGGAGAACTTAGAGAGCATGGTTTCCTAAAATAAATAAAATGTTTTAAGAAGGTTGTGATGACCTGTGTCAAATGAGAAGCCAGGATAGTGAAAGAGGTAGTGTTGCAGAGAGAGAGGGTGAAACAGGAATCAGGGAGAATGACTCAGAGGTCTGCAGAAAACTACCAAAGGAGGCAAAACAGGTGGTAAAGTCTGAGAGCTTACGGTCAACTTTCAAAGGAGCTTTAGATGTTAGGGAAGAGAGGCAGACGATGATCTAGAAGCATGGACAAGGACCAAGGAAGACCTTCACCCCATAATTTGCCTCTGTTTCTTTCTTATCCCTCCAACTAGGACACCGCCAAAATCTTTAAGTTCATTTACTCTTCATACCCCAGACACCTATTCAGGGAATCCCATATGAGACAAAATAGCTCCTCAAACCAGCCTGGTCCCAGGTCAAGGGTTCTGGTAGGAGCTAATCAATTTTAGGGACGCTTTAGAGGTTTGTACCCACCATAGGGGAAACTCAGACTACCAACAAGCAGAGTGAATAAAAATCTGATGTCTGCCCTAATACATATCTACTCACTGTAGGATTCTCCAGATCAGTGGTTCTTAATGGGTAATGATTTTGCACACCCCCTCCCCTAGGGGACAAATGTCTAAAGACTAGCAGTGTCTAGAGACATTTTTGGTTGTCACACTGGGGACCAACAAGGGGGTGGGCTGCTACTGCATCTAGTGGGTAGAGGCCGGCAATACCGCTGAACAGCCTACAATACAGGACACCCACGACAAAGCCATGTGGCACAAAGTGTCAATAGTGCCAAGACTGGGAAATCATACCCTAGACCAAATGACCTGGGGCAAGAGGAGCTTTAAGAGGGTCCTCTTATCTGAGTACACAATCCCACCCATACCAGTTTACACCAATTCTGACTGAGTATGGCTAAGGGGCCAGACCAGTCAGCCTTATGAATTCTATTTCCAATCTACTCAAATAGGGCCAGGGAAAGACAGAGGAAAAATGTGAGGTTAGCTAAATGGTAAAAGTTAAAAAGAGAAAAATTGTGTCATATATCAAATGTTAATAAAAGAGGCGGGTTAGAATGAAAACAAAAATAAAATAAAATAAAAATTTTAAAAATTAAAAAAATAAAAGAGGCAAAATTCCCCCAAATGAGAATAAGCAAATAGACTTTCTTTAAATTTGAAAAAGAAAGACTTTCTTTAAATGTAACTCTTTTCATTTTGAATAATAAGTAACACCTTAGAGTGAAGTTCAAAAGCCACCATGCTCTCTTACTAGCTCTATTCACTGCCAAACACTCCTTCGGTAAGGACGGTGCTTTTGTATTCTTGACTGCAAAAGGAAGCTAATTAAAGTGAGTTTTTGAGAAAACATCCTGGGAATTCAAAATAATTAATGTGTTGCTTTCAAAACGAGAAACCATGAATCTTGACATTAAGAAGCCTATGTTTTCTTACCTCATCAATATTTCACTTACAGGATCAATATTTTGATCCATAACCATCGACAGCTGGCCTTCCCAGAATTCCCATTTATTCTCTTTCAGGATAAATCACCAATGAACAGTTTTTAACAGTTTTCCCTTTCTTAAGGGATTGCCAGAGAAATGTTTTAAAGAGTCTACTTTCTACAGGGAAGGCATTCTGACTCTGCCATATCTATGTCCACTTTAAAATCTGCTCTAGGAAAGTTTCCACTAACGCACACGGGGGAGGATGGCTGTGTCTTAATGAAAACTTAGATCCTCCTGCCCTAATGCTTTATCAGCAGGCTGCCGGGAACCCAGCGTGCTGTTTTATCAGAGGAAGCTTCCCAGCAAGATGGTTCGTGAGCACGCTGTTGAAGGAGTGGCCCCTCAGGGAAGTCCCTGTCTACGCGTGACCCGTGATCTGAGAGGAGCCAGGCTGGCCCAACTGTCTGCTGCAGGGCGGGGACCAGCTTCGGCTTTAACAGAGAGAGGGGCCTCAACCTCCCCTCCTCCGTTTAGGGTTCCAGCAGTTTCTGAAGGAAAGAGCACTTTGGATATTTCTCTTCAAAACAAATCTCCACCATGTCTGACGGTGTCCTTCACTGGACTGTTTACAACACTAGGGCCCATATCTACTGGATGCTCCGTAGACCCAGTCAAAAGACAACATGTATTGGTAGTCTAATAATATGACAGATTTTTTTTTTAGAAAAGTAACCCAAGAAATATATACATAGGATTATAGATATATACATGTATATGGATGTGTGTGTATACACATATGAAAAGAGAAGGAGAGAGACTAATTGATTCATTCAAGAAAAAGAAATCATAAATATCCCAAAATGCCCATCAGGGGTATAGTTCAGCAAATTAAGACATAATTATGTAATGGAGAAAAAATAGGGAAAAAAGGTAAGCACGTCTACTATATGCCAGGTGTTTTCACATTATCTCATTTCATTGTCCCCATGACTCCCTCAGTTACTCTTTTAGGTAAGAATCATTATCCCCAATTTACAGAAGACAAATGAAGAGCCCATGAAAGGGAAGGAAGTTGCCTCGAGTCACAAAGCTAGTGAAGAGCAAAGCTGAGAGTTACTTGCAGGTTTTCCTACTCCCTGCCCAGCATTTATTACACTGGATTCCAAATTTTCCCCCAAGATCTATTTGTAGACTAAGTCAATAAATGGGATTGTAAATATAAAATAAGGTTAAACAAAAATCAAACCATAGTATAGACATATTGCTTTTAATCATGTGAAATTTTATATGTATATACTAAAAATGATGACAATCAGCATGAGACTGATTGAAAAAACTGGAATTAAAATCATCTGAGTTTGTTTTGCCTATGAAATTGCTTAAACATATAATAAAGAAAATCACCAAAATCTGTTCCTCCATGCACGCCTGTCCCAGGCTAATTAAGGTTAAGAAAAGGCAATAAATATAAAATACCTTGTTAAAGGTTGAATGTGGCTGGGCCACTTTAAGATAGAGAAATACCCCATCCTTCATAAAATTCTCAGCTCTTTCAGGGACTGGTAGAGTTTCTGCACTATATCAAAAGCTGGAATTTCTGCAAGTTAAAAAGCTTTGCAAGCAAGTCACGTTTCTACAGAAATCTCCTTTTCTAAAATTTAGCACTATATAACATTCTTTAAATTCTTCCTTCGACCAAAAGAATTTAATCCTGGGAGATCCCCCTAGCAGTGGCTTTGCCTAAGAAACATCTATCACCTTCAGTCAAGTTAGAATTATCTTGGAATCTCCCTCCTCTGTTCCTCTCCTCACGTCTGGTGGCTAAACTGCTGTTTAATGCAGTAGCCAGAACCCGAGCCAGAAGTATGGGCCTCACTTGGGCCTTCACATTATACTGTAACTTGCAGAAATAACCAGGGCTGAGCCTGGAGTGCAGGTCCCCACCACCAAAGAGTAACTGGGAATTTACATGAATTACTACCCTTCCAGAGACAAACTGAGGAAAGGCTCACTGGGTTTACACAGTCCTGTTCTCAAACCCAAAAGGTGAGAATTGGGCAGGATGCCACTTTTATCTTACCCCGCGTTTCTTTTATTTTTATAATGGGCAGTTACCTGTCTCCTAATTCAGGAAGACAGTAGAAGAATAAAACGTTGACAAAGGCTTTCTGAGATTGTTTTTAAAAAGAAAATGGTTTATAAATACAATTCCCACTGGTGTCCGTTTCTTTATGACAAGTATTTCTTACTATAAAAAAAAAATGTGAAAAAAAAATTTGGAAGTAAAAGTTCCTCAACTGGTTTCCCTTAAAACCACTGTTTTTATTTAAAGTTACATAATAATAACCTCCTTTGGTTCTCTTCTGTTTTAAAACTCTCACCTATTTTCTCTTATTATGTTGACTACCACTAATAAAATATCCTGATTCAAGAACGTAGGAAAATGCTTGAAGTGACTATAATAAGATTAGATCATAATGTTATTAAATTTGAGAGTAGCAATTTGAGCCACAGTTTATTCAAATCTTCCTAACAACTAAACACAAAAGAAGTCAGTTAGCTAAAATGGCTGATCTCATTCTTGGCTTCTGGCTACAGTCCCAAAGGTCTAATAATAAGGATATCTACTGAGATTTCTTAAATAGGCCAGTCACTCTATTAAAAGCTTTGCATGTATTATCTCATTTAATCTTCACAACACTCCTAAGTAGTAATCATTATTATTAGTGTATTGTTATTGCTAAAGTTACTGTTATCCCCACTTTACAGATGAGGAAACAGGGCACAAACAAGCTGGGTAACTTGTCCAAGATTACTCATCTACTAGGTTTGGAGCTAGAACAGAACCCCAGCCCTTATGGGACCACCACACCATCAGTGGTACTATCTGCCGTGGCCCCATTCAGTGGGTTCCTCCTTCTGTAAGTCAGGTGCATTGTCACTGTTCCCAAACATGAATTCAAACTCACATCTCTCATCATTTTCACTGCTTCTCTGGTCCTCCCGAGTCTTCTGGCACACATTGCTAGCCTTCTTTTGATGTAGACCAAGACATTGGTGTCTCGTCCTGAAGAGGGAGACATAAAGCACCAAAACTTAAAAAAAATACAAGAGCTTTCAGCTCAGCAGCAAGAAAAAATACAGAGGCGGATTTTTCATGCCCTTAAAGGAAAACCTCGGAGAGAAGAGTCTGCTCCTTTGACTTTTCCTTACTGCCAGGAGCACTGACAACTTTTCTAATGGCAGAATGCAAACAGAGTAAAGTCAAAGTGCTTAGACTGCCAAAGGTCACATCACGTGACTATTAAGTCATGCTTTTGAGTTAGGATGTTGAATATTCGATAAATAAAATCATCTGCCACAAAGTGCTGGGAAAATGAACATACCCACATTGCATGAGGCTTACAAGCAAGAAGTCCACATTCTTCTAGCGCTGCATGCTTTTGGTGAAGATGCAAAGAGGTGAATCTCAGGTTGCATCTTGATGAACTATTTTTTTTTTCCTTCTTGACATTAAGTCTGGAGAAGCCTCATCTTGAACTTCTGTTTTACATTATTCTTTCCCTAACACTAGTGACATCATAATCATCTCCAGGTCCCCAAAGCAGTCAATTTTAAATGGCAACATAACACATTCCAGATATGACAATAGACCATGCAACAAAATGAAAAACTACCCTAGTGTTAGAGAAAGTATTGACAAGCTAAATACTTGTAATAATAGTCACTAAAATGGCTCTTAAAAAGTACATTAACAACTTCTCATCTTAATCTCTTATTTAATTATGTGTATTTCTGGATATGTTTCCAGACCAGTGAGAACATGTACGTACTTAATCCTCAATAAAATTACCATGTTTTAGAAAAATATGACACACCTGTTATAGATTAAGTATATGTATAATATGCAGCTATTAAAAGATGTTAAGACCAAAGTACTAACATTTCAAGTTTTAAACAATGAGAACAAGATGTGTGCTGAATATCTGCCAAGTACCTACAAATTACTTTAAAGATGTGATTATATTTTTTTGGATAGATTTAGGCAACAGGTTGAAGGGATTAATTTACAGAAGAAAAGAAATAAAGAAAATTTCTCAAGTTATATTACAGATTATGTAATTTTATGTATTAATCCTCATTTAATTCACAAAACAGACATTTACTATATATGTCTTCAAAATTCACTGTGCTATACATAATTTTTTTAAAAAAGCAAGATATAGATGGTGACTAGAGACTTGACTAACATATATACTACTAAGAATAAAAATTAAAACCTGTGTATTGAGGGGTTATGTGGACAGACTTATATACACAGGCCACAATGCAAAGATCTCACTATACCTTAGTCACGGGGACTAATGCATTCAGTTTCTGCACCAAATCCAGGCTTAACACTAAAACTTAATTTTATAATCTCAAATATGAAGGAGATACACTCCTACTCTCTAAGACGCAGGACAGAGAAATGAGAGAAATTCCATTTTAAAGAAACAACCCAAAGTTTGGTTAGACAATGAAAACACTCCCTCTCACAAGGGTCACTAAATTTCTACTTAAACAACCAACAAATTGACAAGCCGAGGAGCTCAAGAAATTCCAGAAATGATTTCGTTGTCGTGTTTTTATACCATTCCCTAAAATAACACTGACTCTCAGTTTAGTGTACTAAAGTGAAAGGTCTCATTTTAAAGTTATGTTAAAGAAAAGAAACCATTATTTTAAATAATTTAAATATAAAAAAGATACATAATTAGGAATTCATGGCTCTTTCTCCCTAGGAGCCAACAGCAGTGCTTCCTAAATAAGAGCTAAATACTGAGACAATCACCAATAGCTGTTATATTCTTAGCTGTCCTATTGCAACCCATGCTGTAGAAGACCCATAAGACAAAACCTCTGATAGCATTGACGCTAATTTAAGTCCTGTTTCCCAATTAGGATTTAAAATTATGGGGCAGAGAAGCAACTGATAAACAGAAATATGTAAGAATTCTGAGGAGAAAAAGGGTCACCATTAAAGGTTATTACTTTTATTTCTAGTGTTAAAAATCCATGGGCAGGCATGAAAACATGAACATGAACAGTAATGAAGCTATAAGTTAATTATGTGCTGTGCTCTTGTGGGGAAGAAAAATTAATAAAAACAAAGAAAGGCAAAAAACAATATTTATTCTAATCTAGGAGAAATGTCTTTTGAACTGGACTGAAAATCTGCTCTGATTAATCATGTTACAATTCTGATCCCCCAACACGTCAGCCTGGAGGAAACCTTACTATGTTGGGCTTCATACTGGGATCCATGATGCTGTAGCTGCTGAGAACGCCGGTAACAGCCGTCTCCAGCTTTCAGGGCCTGCTTAAACAGCTTTTCTGCTTCAGCAATGGTTGTTGCTTCTTCTTCAGCCAAGAGAATATAAGCAGTTGCACACCTGTCCATTCAGATAACAGCCGCCATCAATTACAAATTCAAGGACATTGTAATAGCTGTAGGAGTGCATGCAGAAGGGCAGGAGTTATGCCAAAACATGCAGAGTGGCCAGCTGGTTCATGCACCCCTGTTTGTAGCTGTTGACACAAAATAATGGTACAAAAGAAATGTCTGTGTTTTAGCTTGAGAGGTAGGATGAGTAGTGTTAGGAGCATATGGACTCTGCCCCTTATTAGTGTGTCACTTTGGGCAAGTTATTACTCTGCCTCCCTGATGGAGAACAACATGGAATCCACTTGTTCACAGCGTTGTTGTGAAGGTTAAGTAAGGTGATGCATGAAAAGTGCTCAGTACAGTAGTAGCCAGCATGTGGTACATGCTCAACAATGTCAACTAACGATGGCAATGATAATAGCTGTTATTAAACATCTCCTTCTGACACTCAAAGTTAGAGATACCATAAAGTTTACTTTTATTTACTAAACACAGATTCTCTTTAGTCTAAGGGTTTATTCAGAATGAGAAATTCATTAAATCAAGTAAGTTATTCATTTAACAAGCAGTGCTTCAACATTTCATTACAGTTAGCACTGGTTTTCTATGTCAGAGAAGAATACTGGAAGAAACTACAGGTAGAGTTATTTCAGAAGAGCTTAAAATTAGATTCAGCCTCAGTAGCAAACAAGCGTTAAATCTCACACCTTTAACAAAAAGAGCTACCACCTGTTGCTTAGTTTATATTAAGCACTGTACCAGGCACTTAACATATATCGTCTCATTTAATCCTTTCAACAACCTCTAACATAGGAAGTCAGAAAGGATAAACACTCAACCAACGAACAAGGGGAACTCTTGAACATTTAAACCTTCCAAATCATAGAACAACAACCCAAATGCCAAAGAAAGGGAATGTAACAAGGAAATGGTGAGGCCAGAGCAGACCACACAGGTCCTGATCTGTGCATATCCCTTGGCTTTCTCCACTGCCTCTCTTGTGGTCATTTCCCTACTTATCACAACCTCCATCAGACCACAAGAGAGAAAATAAACAGAAAGTGAAACCAAATGTTACTTCTACTATTCATAAACTACAACAGCCAGGTAGGAAAAGGAGGCTGAATTTATGGCTTATGTGAGATTTGGGGTTACTAGTTAATCTTAGCCTTGAGGAGGGGTCTTGTAAGTTCTTTAGCCAGTCCCTCTAATTTCAGGCAGGACTGATCAATAGGGCTTTAAACTGAATGTGGTGAGGTAGGGAGAAAAAAGCGCCCAGAAAAAAAGCTGTAAAACCAATTACTGTGGAGGGCAGCAGATATGACTTGGAGAGAACAATTATGATGCTAAAACTGCCCAGTGATTCATTGGAGAAATAAATAGGTTGGGCATTGGGAAGCAACACTTCAGGCTTCAGATGCCGACACATAAATATAAGGTCCAGGGTAATGAAGTGAAAATTGAGATTATAATACTGAGTGGTGGACACAGTATCAGAGGAATTAGCTATAAGATTATAGTTGGTGGGCTGGGAACTCAAGACAGGTTGGGGCTAGCTTGCTTGCTTTGTTTATTTATATTGCAAATAGCACTCTTAGGAGGAGAGGCAGAGTAGCACTACTGGCCAAGAAAACATACCTCTATGTAGAAACTCATGAGTCTGGGGTAGAAACATGCTAAGAGCTTATGAGTGAAGGAGAAAGGAAAGAGCAATAGAAGTGCTAATGGTTGGGGAGTACAGAACAGACTGCTCAGCTCAATGGAAGATAGAGATGATGCATCCTGTCACAACACAATACACATACAGAAGCAAGAAAGTATGGTGATGGGGGTGTCAACCATCCAGATATCTGCTAGAAGAAGTCTCATTTGGTTAGAAGTAGGGCACTCAACAGGTTCTTGACTTACTTTGGTAATAATTTTATCTCCCAGATGGTAGAGGAAGCAATTAGGGGAACTTCAACTCTGGACCTAATTCTGACCAAGAAGAAAAAAATAGTTGGTGAAATGAAAATTGATAGGAACATTCAGAGAGAGTTACTATGTCATTTCGGACTTTAGGATAATCAGAGAAGGTAAGGCGGACTTCAAAAAATTCAAAGAAAAGAGGCGTGATTCAATGGCATGAGACGCAGAAGGAAAAATGGTTTAAGAGGGTTAAGCAGCTTCCAAATGTCTAATCAAAACTGCAATCACAAATGACCCTCTCAGGAAGAAAAGAGGGGTGACAAGTAACCACTGTGACTGCACAGAGATCTCTCACAAGGTCATATGTCTAAAGGACATGTAAAAAAAGATGGAAAGAGGGCACGTAATGAAGGGCTACAAGAGAAATGAGCTTTTCAGAATAACGTCAGGAGAGCTACAACTCCACATTAGCTGAAGCTTGCAAAACAAAATAAAGGCAAAACAAAAAATGTTAAAGACAACCATCTATTCCCTGTTTTTAAATTATGTTTAAGGCCCTATCACCACCCCCACTTCTCCAAAACCATGACAAACATAAATAAGCAAAAAAGACAAACAACACAACAACAACATCAAAACAAGGAAAGTTTATAGTTAGTAGCAGCAGATAATAAAGAGAAAACAAAACTCTCTAACTCCTATTTTGTTCCTGGTTTCTCCATCAGGGAGAATGATTGTCAGACTGACAAAGGGAGAAGAAACCCTAAAATGAATAAAAAGATGTAAGATAGCAAGTAACTGATCTATTGTAAATGAATTATTGTACTGGGATAGGCAAATCCCAGGAAGCCAACAGATCCTGTAGGCAGCCCACGGAATTGCTCTCTGTGTATTGTTAAGGAATCACAAAGAATGGAGAGGTTCTAGAAGATGAGATGACTAATGCAGTAAAAATGTTCAAAAAGGGGAAGAAGGCAGACTTCCCAAACTACAGAACAGTGATTTGGAAAGATATTCTAATGGATTATTAAAGGGATAGTTTCTAAGCATTTTTAAAAGAAAGTAGTGAATGCTGGAAGCTAGCTTAAATTCACTAAGAATAAATAAATCAGTTCGTGCTAGCTTAATGTACTCTAATGGATTTACTATACATTAAAGATCCATAGCTACAACTGGCATTTTTAAGATCAAAATGCAGAAATATGGGTTGAATCACAGTGTAACTGGGTGGCTTAGTAATTGGTTGTACAATAAATACCAAAGGGTGATGATCCATGAAGACATGAACCTGGAGGGTGGTTTCTATATGTCATGTCACAGGGTTCTATCCCTGGTCCTGATACTTTTATTAGAAACACGGATGACACATAGAAGGCAGGCATATCAAATTTGTAGATGACAAGAAACTGGAAAATAAATATGTTGCATGACAGAATCAGAAACCAAATAGATCAACAGGTTACACTGGCAGGATTTCCAACTCTCAAGTGAATCTTTTCACTAAGACCTCTGAAGATTCTGTAACCCTCTTCAGAAAAATCATAAAATAGTTTAACAACGACCACTTGGCAGGGAGAGTGTCGAGGTGATTCAAGCACCAGATGGGTGTTTGAACTACAAGACCTTCAAAGTCTCTGCCAACCCTGAGCTTTTATGACTCCAACTTTAAGAATCTTTCTCATTTCCTGACATCTCCAGACGAGACTTCCCAGCCTTCCTTGGTGACCCACAGAATGTTTAACAGCACTAAGGACAGCATTTCCTCTTATCTTTGTCTTGATCTTGAAATATTTTTAAAGTATAATTTCTTCACTTTATGTTTTTACTATGTTTTCCCTACTAGCAGAAGTTCTACCTAGAAAATGTGATGGCAGAGATGAGCATTCTATATCTGGAAAAATGTCCCTGTCACAATGTTTTAGATATGTAAAGCACTGTATTTATTTTATGTCCACACATTATTCCATGGCTAGCCCTTGAAGGATTTAATTTAGGGTCATAGCAAAGCCACTAAATTGCTGGCTAAAATAACTAAAACTATCTTCACATGGATGTCCTTTATAAAAACAATTTTTTTAATAAATTAATATCCCCCCCCGAATAATCCTCAAATTCAAATGCATAGTTTAAGTATCCCATGAATGGCAACTGAACACATTCAGCAAGCAAGATTTCCCCCCACTTACTCATTTATCTCTAAGGCTTCATGGGCTGCAGAAATCCTAGCTTGGGGGTTTCTCTCTCTCCAGGCTTTCTGCATTACTGTGTTAGAAAAAGACAGAAAAGCACATCAATAAATACTTAAAAAGACTCAGTACAGGTATAGCTAAATTAATAGCTTTCAGCTTGAATTACAAGAGAACAGTTCACTTACCAAGTGGGTTAGCCCAAAACTCCAAAGTCACACAAATACATTCTAATTTGCTATTCCATTGTCCTTCAATTGCTGATATCAAATCTTTCTTATGCTCATAAAACTAGAGGTCTAATATCTTATAGACTAACCCATAGTCTATAATCATAGAGACTTAATCTTGATTAAGATTTCTTAATCAAGAAAAGAAAAGGCATTCTAACAGAGATTTAATATTTCTTTTGCTCATTAATATCATTTGTTGTTAGAGAACACACATTATTTTGCACATTTTGGGATGAGATTGCTACTAATCTCTTACTTCTGTTTAGACACAGCACAATTTTTATCGGTCATTTTCCCAAACACTTGCTACAGGATCTGGATATTAGAACATTCTAAAACCACTGGAAGAATTATGAGTTGGATCAGAAAAAAGTGCTTTAGACTTTTGCTTAACATGCGTACCTGTTCTCAAAGTTTGCTGCAAACCCAGTTTTTATATAGCAGAGCAGTTTGTGAATATATTGTGGGAAGCTTAATGCTTGGAATTTTCATTGTATTATGTGTCCCCACCACGGCAAGGGTACCTTTTTAAAAAGGGTAACAATCTCCTTATCTAATTTGTTTTATAAATTTGTATCTTCTAAGTTAGTTTCTTAGGAGCATGTACATATTTCTTTTTTTTTAAGGTTTTTTTTTTCACCTATTTACTTTAAGTTTGGTAATATAAAAAATATCAGTAGGATTATATGGAACTCAAGCAGTATGAAATGCATGCTAAACAAAGTCTCTTCTAGGGTGGAAAACAAATCTGGATTCCAATAACCAAGTCCATGCCCCCATTCAACGCTAGTGAACCTACAAATAGGCATATAAATCACTACAATATATTCATTGTTTGGGTTCACTGAATTTCTAACTAGAATATCATCAAGGAGACATGACCTTTCACTCTATCTCAACCAAGGATTTAGTTAGCTTCATGGTATATTTTTTAAAAATAACATTTTAAATTATAAAGAGGGGACCCATTTCTATATTAATACTTCATTGCGATAAAGCCTTTAAGTATCAACAATCTGGGTTTTACTGGTCAATCTCCAATTTAATATTTTATTCATCAGGGTTTTTGTAGAGCAGATATTCTACAAGTAGTAACCTTGATCTTTAAAACAAACCAAAAAGCCCTGCCACTCAGTAACTATCTAAAGGATTTTCCATACTTGCATCTGCAGGACGCAGATGGTCCGAGTCACAAGTAAAGAATGTCTGGTGGTCCTGCGCAGAGAGGTTCATGTCATAGTAAGTCAGAGGCTCTCGTCCAGTCACCCAAGTGTACCTGTAAAGGAGAAGTAAGATGGTCAGGCACTTCTGAGGGAGGAAAGCAAGACCTACAAAATATTAAGCTGCATAGGTGTTGAACCATAACACACTGAGTACTGTTACCAATAAATAAAAAAATAATCATCCTAGTCTCCCTTTAGGAAGTATATCAGCAGAAAAAAAGTTTTAAAAATTCTGCTATATTTTTGTCTTAAAATTTTAGTAGCACTAGCTAATGAAAACCTTTCCTAATTAGTATTATGAATAGAGATTTCCCCAAAGCTATGAAAATTCTTATCTGCCTAATTACTCTGCAAAATAAAATTCTAACATTACTTCTGTGGCATCTTTATAACCATGTTCCAGGTAAGCTTCAAAATATTTTGACTACGTAGTATATAGTGAAAAGAATAATGTAATAGAAAATCTCTAAAAACCACACATTTTTGTATGTTATCCTAATTCCAATGCTAAAATATTTATAAAATGGAAAAATCAAAACATTTCAGGATAGCATCAAAAAATGGAAGCACTCTACAGACTGTTAAATGACCCCTAAATGAACCTGCAAAAACATTTACTGCTGTCTTTGCTCTCTGAACTAGACCCATTTGTTTCCCAAGCTGTCAAAATGCTTACCGATTATATTCAGCACCCCTAAATAAATTTAGTGGATTTCGCCATACTTTGCATTCTGCAACAAAGAGAAATGCAAGAATGTTACACATAAGTTCACAGACACTACAAGCTAATTAATTCAGCAAAACACCCTTCCTGGACGTTTGATAAGATAAATTTATTCTCTATCCTCTACATGGTAAGCAATATGGAAAAACTCTGGGTAGTTAATCAGGAAATGTAGCTCAGGCACCAGGACTTTGGAAAGTTTCGTCTAATCTCTCCAGGCCCAAGTTTCCTCATTTGTTAAATCAAGGCACATGCCAAGAGCAGCTGGTTCATAACCTCTATAGTCACTTCAAGAGGTCCAAATAGATTGTATAAATTTATTTCTAAATTATAGGTAGAGGTAGAGGTAAAACTACTTTCTGTCACTCTAAAATATATCTTACAATGACTACCTATATAACAAGCTAAATTTAACCTCCAGAGTACAATATGTAAAGAACCTTAGACGCTTAATTAGGGCCTATGCTAATATTGATTTTGTGATAATTTACCAGGTTTCTTTTACATTGCTGTAAAGGAGTGGTAAGAAAATTAATACTAAAGTTACCATTATGGTAGAGAGAAATGCTATGAAAATAAATTGTTTTCAAGTACTTTAACATTGTTTACTTATGCAGACACAGGTAATTAATCATCATACTAATATCATAATGTTAGCATGTAATAATAGATTATACATCTTGTTATACAAGGACCACAGACAGAACCATAGGACTTTAATGTAGAAAAGTCAACCATTAGCTTTTAAGACTGTGTTACAGTAAATGTGTGACTAATAAGCTACAGTTCTTTTAAAGCAGTCTATGATTAAGAGTTTCTAATGATTCAGAATGCTACATTTCTTTGAATGAATAATTCTTTATAAGAAAATAAAATCAGTTAACAGTATTTAAGAATCTATGTGTGCTGTCAGCCAAAAAACACACCCAAAGACATAGATACACAAAAGTGAGCAATTATTACAGAAACTGAAAGAACATTAAAGGCCATGGATGATTCATTAAGATTCTACCCTCAATCCTGTTACATTCAACATCCATCTGTCCACCCATCCATCCATCCATCCATCCATCCATCCAGTATGCATTAACTGAGTACCCAGTGGGTGAAACAAACAAGTAAAACCATCAATTACAATACAGGGCGAAAATGGAGGAAAACATAAAGCACTAGGGGAACACTGTGTAATCTCAATAAATTTTTGTTAAAATAGTGAATGAAAGGTGTACACATAACAGGAAATCATGTTTTTATTTAAAGAAAATAAATTTATCTTTAAGTTAGGGTAGGATCCCACCTGAAATTTACTTAATGTTTGGAAACAATGGTCTTAAACTTTTTGTAACTTAGCTTAACCTGCCACTTAGGAAATGATGTTTGCTCAGTTAGTTCAGCAGTTTTGAATTTTGCTCTTGAGAAACTGAGATTCGATGGTTGTCATTTCATATGACACTAATTAGAAAATTATGCTTCCCTTAAGTAAATACTTTTTTTCCAGACATGAAGCTCCTTAGTGGGGTCACTAAAGTACTCCAGATCATGGCTTGAAACAACTGGTGAGCCAAACAACCATGATCTCAGTCCTCATGGCTTTTATAGCACTTAGCTCTTAGGTCCTCACCACTCCCAACCCCTCCTAAGAGGATGTCTTTCAAGATTCCAAGTGCTCTTAAAGCTTCATGAATATTGCTAGGTTTGTATTTAACACGTAATAAACGTGCACACAAATTTGTGTGCAATCATGGTCATTTTAGTATTATTTACAATAAAATAGGACATTTGGGGAGAAGCCTCTCCCCCACCAAATTTCATCTGAAATATCAGTAAAAAGGTTATGGCAAATACTTTGTCTCCAACAAATATATTGCCTGGAAGGATATGTGGCATTCTAATATCAATTGACAAATTATAAAGAAAATTGTCTTCAATTAAAATTTTAACTCTATTATACATTAGATACAAATGAAATTATTTCTAAATAAAAATAACTCCAAATAGAAATGGTGTGTATACCTAAAGTATTACTGAACAGTATCTAAAAATGCCATCTTTATTTAGGAACTGCCATGATATAGCCAGCAGGGGGTGCTGCAAACATTTTGAAATGTTGTTTTTATGACTTCTACTAGAGAACTGAACTTTAAAAAAAAAACATTGTTAATATCAGTGTCATACATCTGGTCTGTATTCAGTTTCTTCAGCTATTCCTGAAACTTAGAAATGAGTACCTATGTAAATGTAACAGATGTAAAATGTTCTGAATGAGAAAAAAACATGATGAAGAAATATATAAGAAATGTCTTCATGAGCTATATCCTTCAAGTTGAGGGTGCAGAGCAGGTACAATTTTCTTTTAAGAAATAAGCAATCTAGAGGTCGAATAAGAACACATGTAAAAAATTTCACTTCAAATTAGGTCATAGCTACATTAATTTCCTCTTTGCTGCTTTGTTTCATAATTTTATCTTTACTACGAAAACCCTCTTGGTCTGGAATCACTCTAGGGAACATACCCCATAAATATCAGACTACCTGATGGTTTCATGATATGGACAAAGGTTGTAAATGCCAAAAGTATCATAATATGAAGATTTAAGTCAATAAATTAAACTCAGGTCTCCAGAGGCTAAAAGTTTTTCTACATGAGGTCCAGTTTCTTATCTTACTTGTATCTTTGAGAAATAAATTTCTTATTTAAGTCTGAATTAAAATTTTACCTCCAAAAGGTATTTTCCGTTATCCATCAATATCAACAATTTTAGTGCTCTTTAGGAGCACTAAAGGTTGACTGGGACTCATCAAGGGCTTGCTAACATCATTAATAGTTCAGTTAAATATATGCCCTTGATACAATTAACATGTTCTCTCTGATTCCATCTGTAGTAGCCCACAGAGGAGTCTCTACCCATAACTGCTGATAGGAATGTTCAGACCTCACCATGCACATAAGAATGCAATTCAAGAGAAAGAGAAGCAGTAAACATTGGAATAGTGCTTGTTTAGTCCCCAAAGGAACTAAATGGAGAACAGATTCCATTCACCTGTAGGATGACAATAAATTTCTCTTTGTGGGAGATAAAGAACATAAAAAATAATACTTACCACCGTCAAGGACTTATAAAATCACGCTCCAATCTTTTTTTCAGTCTTCCCTCTCACCATTCCCTACCAAAACTTTCCATCCCAGTGATACTTATTTCTTGCTTTTCATACTCAGTTATTCCTCCAGAATGCCCACCTCATAGGACTGAGTGGTTTAAACATGTATAGAATGGCTATTATGCATTAGTCCTTGCACGAGGTCCTGGGTTACAAAAAACAGATACAGTTTATGACCTAGAGGAGCTTATACTGGGTTGGCCAAAAAGTTCATTCAGGTTTTTCCATAACATCTTACGAAAAACCCAAACGAACTTTTTGGCCAACCCAACACATTGGTAGAAAAAGGAAAAGGCCACTGAACCGCTGTATGGCATCCAGATGAAGAAGCTCCTTAGAAGGAATAAATGTACTGAGAGAACCAAAGACTTTCCCTTTGTCACAGTCCTCAAGGAAAAAGAGAACTTAATTCTCAGAAAAACCAAAAGGCTCTAAAGTCACAGGGCTTTTAATCACATGGAAGAAAATATTTTTCTACATCCAACCTATTTAACTCTGAAAACCTTTTTTCCCTAAAATTAAAAATATATACATAGAGAGAATCCCCACTCCTAGGACTTTCAAATATATAAGTAACTAATGTATAGCCTAGGAAGATGTATTATACCAAAAAGTTACCACCTCTTCCCAGGATCTGAAACATAATAATGACAGTAATACTATTACAAATAACAGCAACAGTAACTTGTGTCATAGCTATGAGCTTGATTTGCATTGAGCCTTTCTATAAAAAGGCTTAAAGCTCTAGTCATCTAAATTCCTAACATAAGTTAGTGAGGGTCACAGAGTAGGCCCTTTTTATAGAAGTAAAGAGTAAAGCATCGAAAAGCTACATAATTTCCCCATGGTAAAAGTAAATGAGATTAAAGGTCTGGTATCCAGATTGCCTAACAATTATCCACAATATACAACAGCCCTGTTACCTGCAACATCATATTTTAAAAATCCTGTGACTTCATCAATTAAATCTTCTACTAGAGGAACAGTTTTGAAAACTCCTCTGGGGAAATGTTAGGCACTTTGAAACAATACTTTTAAACATTTTAGTTCCAAAGTACAACAGAGAAGGGCCCTAACTAATGTTTTCTCCGATATATTATGACAATCAAGATTAACCCCAAGCCAGTCAATTTCTGACATGTGATTCTGCATATATTTATTAGCTTTGCTATCTCAGAAATGACTACCCAATTCTCTACGTCATACAGGTTGATCTTAAGCAATCATTAAGAGTAACAAAATATCCATTTTCTTTTTTTAAGTCTTTATTGAATTTGTTACAGTATTACTTCTGTTTTATGTTTTGGTTTTTTGGCCTTGAGGCATGTGGGTTCTCAGCTCCCCGACCAGGGACTGAACCTGCACCCACTGTATTAGAAGGCTAAGTCTTAACTGCTGGACAGCCAGGGAAGTCCCCCATTTTCTTAAATAACTAAGCTTTAACTGCTTTCATAACCTTTTGAAATAATTAGTTTGAAAAGATTACTAGAAGTAAAGGCACAAAGTAATATGTAGGTAGCTTTCAATTCAACAAATATATTACTCTCTCAAATTCCCTTCTGGAATGAGAAAAGGTGTAAATAATTATGAGTTTTAAGACCATTTTTATTGATCTACTTTATTCAAGATAGTGTACAAATTTCTTCAAGAATATTGCTAAATGGCTAAAACTCTGTCTCTCATACATTTCTCATTGGTCATTTCTGACCTAAGTCAATCAACTCTACCAAATAACGTGAAAACTGTGAAATAAGTTTATTAAATAAATGTTCACCAGGGGACAAAAGTGTTTTTGAGGCATTTTCACCATTCATCTGGAGAGCTAATCTATGCTAGAACACAAATTTT